GTAACCTCTTTGCAAGGTCTGTATATTGTGGGTAATATAGAGAAAAAACATATAAAAGCCAATCCAAAAGTACACATGGAATATCACCGATTAAGACAAGTAGAGACGGAAAATAGTACAACACATGGATACAGTCCGTCTTCACTTTCCACAAACGTTCATCATAAATTAAGTATTTGCCTGTTAAATGTACGATCACTTAAAAAGCATAGCATCGACATCAAATGTGATGTTAACCTTATGAAAAGCGACGTCTTAGCTCTTACTGAAACACAACTTTTTCCACATGACTCAGATGTTGACATACAAGAAAACCTAAAACCTTTTGTACTATACACACAAGATCACAGAACTGACAAATATCTGAACTTAGCTGTTTGTAACAACTATTTTAATGATACTACCATTACGCAAATTAAAGAAGTTATGAACTTCTATGCTTAGAAACAAGTTGTAGAAAGTGCCACTTTCGTACCGTTAGGAAGCTTACTTGACCATATTTACGTCAAGCAAACAGATGACTATAAGCTAAAAATGTTGGAGACCAACATTGTTAGTGTCTATTACTCGGATCACGAAGCTATAGAGATATTTCTAAACTCTGAGAAAAGTTTATAGAAATTTGACTGACAAGTTTTACTTTGATTTTCATTAATTAAACATTCCCTAAAAGGTTCATGACAAAGCTCAACAAACTTGAGCTGCTGCCAGGTAACTAGTATTTCAATATCCCACTCTGAAAACCAAAATTCATCTTTCCGATCAGTTGCCCCAAGCCAACTGAAAACGCTTTGTTGGTAGCCTATGAGCAAGCACTCCGGGAGATACAGGGGTGGGGTAACCTATAACTTACGTTATAGGTTATGTGCATAATAAGCAAACTCGGAGTAATACGTTATATTACGTAACGTTGACGCTCCAAACAGTTCCTGAATAATCAAAGGAAGGCTTACTTTACTCAACAAAACTATTGTAACAAAGTCAAAACAAGATGAAATTCTGATGGAAACGTCACGGAATACCACAACAATTTTCAACGGGATGCAAAACGGTCAACAGACTCTCAACAATATCGGACACAACAGACTCATTATACTCCGGCCATGGATTGAAGAATAAATCCCAAAGATAAAGCAAGGCCAATCCTAAAAGTTGACCAATATTCAGTTGAAGATATGCTCTGGTCGTAAAAACATTTCAACTACAAGGCCAACTACCATAACAGAGAGCAACGACGAAAGGTTTATTTTGGCAATGACGTTGAAGAGAACAAGCAAAAGATGCCCCAACTTTACTTTACGGCTGTAATTAACGAAATGACCAATCAAGTATCTGTATTAAAAAAGTAAGCCAAGCACTCAAGAACATCTAGAGTCGCACGTCGTACAAAAGGTGCTATGATCAAAGCTAATGAATGTGCAGAGCTGCTTTGTCAGTTCATATATTAATTGAAATCATTGACGATAAGGAAAATGACTTGCACCGAAAGTTACCAGTAAAATTGCCAAGAAATGGATAATGAAAATGCCTTTAGAGAACAACGCTATTGGAGAGAAACTGCTGTTTATAGAAGTTACATATAATGCTAAATCTTTAATCGTAAGAATCAAGCTTACAAAAAGAACAAATCAAAACTCATTTGCCATCGTGTTGACTTCAAAGGTATTGATTTCCTTGTGTGTTTGATATTATGTTCACTGGATACGGAATCAATGACACTTGTTATACCGATCATTTTATAGATACTTCAGTATTGTTTATATTGCATCATTTACCTTTTGTTTAAGAAGCAGGACATTTATAAGCACCTTTTAAAAGTTCTGTCATACTGATGTAACGTATAATAAACGTAGTTAACGGGTTTGCCGATCATTCACTTACAAATCTCGAATTGAGCTCACGTTAAGCAAGGTTTAACCCAGTTTCACAGACTCACAATAGCATCATGGCCTATCTCTCTGTCATCGCCTTGGCCGACGGATTTCAGCATGCTGACGAGCCGTTCTTTTTCAAGGCCCTCGCCTTGGGTGACGTGGCCACCAAAGCCTATCGCATCCGCCAGTTCGATTCGACTCCACTACTAACCAGCTCCGCCACTGCTATCCAAACTTATAGATACCAGTCACATCTCCATGGTTGGGACCTCCACTCCACCGGTCTGCCTCAGTGTGCAGTGGAAACCTGCCTCCTTTCCTTCCTCCAGGAGTTCATCTTGGACGTTTTTGAGGGCAACCAGCCTGTTCCCGAGACAATCACCATTTGGGTGAAGGGAAGACACCAAATGGGCCTATTCGGTCGACTAGTGGAGTCTTTGCCTTGTCTCGGTTTAGCCCTTCTTGTCCGGGACTTAGAGAACATTTCCTGCCCACCGGCAAAACAGTTACTTCAACTCCATGACAATAAGGCAACCACCAGAGACAAAATCCAAGCATATCTCGACTGGATGTCCGAACAAAACCTCGAATAGACATTGGTTTTCAGAACTTTTACGTGTTTCATTTTCACTTCGCCGAGGACGGCTCAAACTTAAGGTCGGAGGAATGTTAGGAAGTAAATTCAAGTAATAAGTAATCTTTGATTTCAATAGGGTTTTATTATAGTGGCGTTTGAAGTTAATGATTTTTAAAGTTTTAGCTTTCAAAGTTTTCGCTTGATATAGCTTTGCTGCTTTTCGCTTTGTTTTACGAATCGCTTTAGCAATAATATTTTGTACAAGAACACTTTATTGATTTACATTTCGACGGCTCGTGCCATTTTATTGTACGTTTGATTACTTAGTGTTCGTTAACGCAATAATTCTAGAAAAAGCAAACAGTGTTTACAGCAGTAAGTAGTCGGCGTTTCTTCTTGTTTGAACACACGCTAGCTGGCCTTGCAATTTCATTGATATTGTAAAATATTGTACATAAATGCTGTTTCGCTGACCTAGCAAAGTTAGCTAACTTTTGTTCCAGTACTTTGACTTTTTAAAAATAGCAACGCAAACAAGCTATAACTACCTCTTTTATTTCATTTTCATTTACTTGTAAATGATTTCTGTTTACACATCTATTGTACTCTTTTGTTTTAAATGGTTATTCATCAAATCATATACAAGTAAGTTGCTTGAACTGATTTTTCGATTACATAGCCGATTACATTTGTAAGCTAAGTTACGCTACGTCTACAAGAATAAATCTGTTGGAACCAAAGTTCAGTTTGCCTTTGCTATACCAGTTATAGTGGTTTGATCCCGGACCTCAAGAGAGCTGACGTCTCTTTCCCGCAAGCAAGTTGCAATTGAGTCTAGTTTTCCCTAGCTAATTGACAGTTAAAGCGCGGAGTTCCTGTTCGGTGTTCAGATCGTTCGAAAGTGGAAAAACCTCCCGTCACATGTAAGACCAAAAGACTTAATAACCAGAAGACTTCAGATCTAAAGGTACATCAGTAACATTTCGTTTTCATTATTATTTACTAGCGAAAAAACATCATACATTATTAAGACAATGCTGATAAAAAAAAAAAACACAGCACAATCCCACTTCTTCTTTCCTGCATATATGTATTTGCAAAATACAGAAAACGATTTCGTATGAGTAGTACTTTTTGGTGCCGTAAGTGCTCAAAGCCGTTTATCAATTCAACAGATTGGGTAGATAACTAATAAAATTTTATTCGTCACTGCAAAATTTACGTAATCACAGCAAGTGAAAGCGCTAAATCTTAAACAAGGAAATTGTTCTACTGACTGTCGCTTCTCATTTTTACTTTAGTATGAAGACTTAAGATAATTTTTCACGCTTCTTTTCTATAGCTAATACTCTACAGGGGAAATATGCAAGTTATTTTCTGAGATTCTTATTGATACATAGATTAAGTCTATTTTGATCTGGTTAGTCGGCAATGTATTGAGAAAATCGTTTGCCTCTGTTCACAACCGCATTAAGAAAAATAACGCTTAATAACACTGTACACGAGTGAACTGAAACTTTAAGGAATGTTGCATTCTACCAAAAAAAACGCGAAAAAGTGTCAACAAACCAATCAAAATTTACAACAAGAGAGATAAACCCATTTTTTATTACATGTTTCGTAGTGTGATGGTATGTGACAGGTTATGTTTACGCTTTTCGCCGTAGTCATGGCAAGTAACCAGAGTTGCGATTATAGTGGCAAACTAAAAAAATGCCAGTCACACTTACCATACGGTTTACTGTGGTAAACTTGCCACTTAGTTAACTTTCTCCATAATGTAATGTGATGTGAACCAGTATCACTAAATAAATGACCGGTTTATAATTTACGACCATAATGCTTGTAAATATAAGAACATATTTTTCAAAGATACTGATATTCCTGCTACCATTACTCTAAATTCACTGTGAAAGGGGACAGATTCTTATCCTACTAACTGTCGCCTTACAATTAAAACCGTTCAACAACACTAGTTTATTGTTAAATGTAACATGTGACGTTTGCCTGTTTTGTTATAAACCCGCGAAAACTTCAGCCTTCTAAAAAGTGAACTCTAATGCATTTCCAATGCCATTGTCTATACAACTACATGAATGGGGAGTGAACAACGCAGTAATCCGTCCATGTTTTTCCAAGGCCATTTTTATTAACAAAGTCATCTTCTACGTAGGAGAAACAAGAAACCATTCTACCCGATTAAATTGTATACCTGCTTAACAAAACGTTTCACTTATCTTTGAAAAATATATCTAAATACTGTAAAGTCACTGTGATAGGGGACAGATTCTTATCCTACCAACTGTCGCCTTACAAATAAAACCGTTGAACAACACTAGGGTTAAGTGTAACATGTGACGTTTGCCTGTTTTGTTATAAACCCGCGAAAACTTCAGCCTTCTAAAAAGTGAACTCTAATGCATTTCCAATGCCATTGTCTATACAACTACATGGATGGGGGGTGAACAACGCAGTAATCCGTCCATGTTTTTCCAAGGCCATTTTTACTAACAAAATCATCTTCTACGTAGGAGAAACAAGAAACCATTCTACCCGATTAAATTGTATACCTGCTTAACAAAACGTTTCACTTATCTTTGAAAAATATATCTAAACACTGTAAATTCACTGTGAAAGGGGACAGATTCTTATCCTACCAACTGTCGCCCTACAAATAAAACCGTTCAACAACACTAGTTAATTGTTAAGTGGAAAATGTGACGTTTGCCTGTTTTGTTATAAACCCGCGAAAACTTCAGCCTTCTAAAAAGTGAACTCTAATGCATTTCCAATGCCATTGTCTATACAACTACATGAATGGGGAGTGAACAACGCAGTAATCCGTCCATGTTTTTCCAAGGCCATTTTTATTAACAAAGTCATCTTCTATGTAGGAGAAACAAGAAACCATTCTACCCGATTAAATTGTATACCTGCTTAACAAAACGTTTCACTTATCTTTGAAAAATATATCTAAACACTGTAAATTCACTGTGAAAGGGGACAGATTCTTATCCTACCAACTGTCGCCCTACAAATAAAACCGTTCAACAACACTAGTTAATTGTTAAGTGGAAAATGTGACGTTTGCCTGTTTTGTTATAAACCCGCGAAAACTTCAGCCTTCTAAAAAGTGAACTCTAATGCATTTCCAATGCCATTGTCTATACAACTACATGAATGGGGGGTGAACAACGCAGTAATCCGTCCATGTTTTTCCAAGGCCATTTTTATTAACAAAGTCATCTTCTACGTGGGAGAAACAAGAAACCATTCTACCCGATTAAATTGTATACCTGCTTAACAAAACGTTTCACTTATCTTTGAAAAAAATATCTTCTACCATCACTCTTTTAACCTTGCATTTACTTAAAAGGGACGAGATTCCTATCGTAAAAAATGTTGCATTTAATCTATTGTAATCTACCTTGTAAAATCATAGACCAATCAGAAATTTTACAAAGCACGTGCCTATTTTCTAGGAGGTACGCAAAAATAAAACATATGCAGATTACAGTACAAATTCTTGGCAGTCGAGTCTTGCAGATTTACATAGTAAGATGTCGACCCCTACATTGCCAAACTCTACTAAGAATCCTACAACGTCGACATCTACTCCTCGTACAGCGCAAAAATCCACTCCTAAATCCTCAAAATCTACGCCAACAGAGCAAGCTGCTGGACCTAATACTTCGAAACTGAAGCCTACTTTACCATCGCCAAAATCTACTCCGCCATCTACTCCTACATCGCCAAAATCTACGACAACAGAGCCAGCTGCTGGACCTAATGCTTCGGCAAAGGCTACTCCACCGGCACCGCCAAGTCCTATTCCAGAAACGACAGAGTCTCCTCCAACGCCGTTGCAATCTCAAACCACTTCGAAAACGCTTCTTTTCAAAAGGAAAAGCGATTCTTCAAATGATGGCTTCAACGCTAAAGTTTTAATCTTGGAAGAAACACTGATAGGGTACGTCCACAACCTATCACACCCAAGACGCAATAGAGGGAACACTATGAATTACTGCACCTTTGTTCTGCAGACTTCAGCCCAAGAGACACAAGAAGCGCTACTCTATTCAACGCACAAGAGACCACTATTACTAGAGAGTCAGAATAATCATACCCCTGTGAAACTGAAACACTTCACCTACACTGAAGACAGGGACAAAATCATCGTCAACGATATGACAAACATTGCAATCCCTCAACAGTGCGAGTACTCATTTCAGTACGACGAGTCCACTCTACTCCAGAGTGAACTGATCACCATCTTAGACATCCTAAACACACGCAGAGAATGGGATGTTGTTACTGTACGTGGAAAGATATTGAATGTGAAGGATCAACGTCAAGTGGGAAGTCCTCGCAAGCGACTTAAATTGATGGAGGCAGTACTTGGCGACGTCAGTGCTACAATTCCTCTAGATCTTTGGGAATCGCAAATTGACAAAGTACAACAAGGTAAGTTGATAAAAGTTTATATTTAATAACCAGTTTCCAAACGTAGTTTCCGTTATGTGTTTTTCTTAATTCAAATAATTTTTTGTACGCACAATGTTTAAGTTCGCCGCTCAAATAAATATTAGGTGTAAAGAACGTATGCCGTCGATATTTGAGGAATAATACTTTTACCCCGATTCTCGTTTGAGTGACTGCCCCTCTAAAAAACTCGCACCTGCCCCCTTTATGTAAAATTATTATCGTAGAGAGCGCACAACATGGACTGACCTGTGACTGTTTCCCTCATTTTTGTAATTTGAATTTTGTTACTTGTATTATCCAGTTCTTCTTTTTCCGAACAACTGTAGTACCAAGACGAAACTTTCTTGAGCGACTGTATATGAATCAAAGGTAATTTTAAGTAAGATTCCTTGACTGCATCTGCATCAACGCCTTTTCAACAAGTTTTTCTTCTTTTTGCAGGTTTGGTGTATACACTTACCAATTTACAAGTTAGAGTTTGGTCAGGAAAAAAGAAGCTATCGACGACGACACGTACAGTTGTTCAACCATTTGATGACCCTGCATTGTGCCAAATTCCCATTAACAGCACAGATACAGAAACAGAAGAAACGTTGCAGGTCGATGATTTACATTCAGTGCAGAAGATTGAGAAGCATTTTAAGTGTAAACACTGCAACAAGAAAATCCTCCAAGGCACTTGCACAGATGTTATCCAATGTGAACGTTGCAGCTTCATTATGAGAACGACCACATGTGAGAAGAGTGTCACTGCAAAAGTTGTTGTACTTCGTAATGACCAACAGCTGTCTTTGAAGATAGATGACGTTGTACTAACGAAGATATTTGGAGATGTAATATCTATTGATGACAACACCTTGGCAGAGAAATTACTCTTTCTTGAGAACTTTGCTGTCACATATAACACTGACACTTTACTTGTTTCAGATATTAATATATAAATACGTTGTATTTACGCATTAGATTTTTGGAGATGTAACATCTATCAAAGAAAACAATTGTGTGAGGGTTGTATCTCTTTTTTTAGAAACAATGCCAATATCACAATGCAAGAGTTTTTTGCTTCAATAGTAGATTGAAAGCAGTAGGGACTTTTTAACAAACGTTATTTTATTCGGCGTATTTTCTGTTCTTCCGCTAGGGTGAATTAATACGACGCGTTTGACTCGAAAGCTAACGAAGATAGTCGTTCAAATAATGAGCTTAACTCGTTTTATGCCTTAAAGGTCTGCATACGAGTGATAAGCTATGAATCCATTCCAAGAAATACTATCAAAGCTAGAATAGCTTACAAATGTTGTTTTCACTGTTGACTAGTCAGAAATCAACAATGTTTTCATCAGGTCCAGTAACGCCAGCCATTGTTTTGCATGTTTTCGATGACAAATTTACGACATAATCAAACGAATCAAAATGATATTGCCAGTGAACTTGTGGTAATTTTGTTTCGGCCATTACAGTTATCTATGTTTTTTTTTCAAAGTTTTGTTAAATGTTGAATTATTATTAATAGTAGTAGTATAGTAACAAGTATTAAGGTGGATTCTTCATTACAGGTTCACTGTTGATATTCTAACCTAGAACAAAAAAGATCATTCTGCGAATACTAGAGGACAATGCAGGTATAAAAATATTGCTACAGGAGGTAATAAATCAAAACAGTATTAGCGATCAATTACTATTTGTAATTTCAGTTACCGTTCCATATGTTTTACACAGTATTTTTATAATAATTGTTTTTAAAGTAGTATACGAAATCGTAAGTCTCATTAAATCCAAAGTTGGACTTCTTAAACGAAAAGAAGAGACTCTAACTTAAATATTTACAAAAAATAGTTGTGATGTATAAACCCTGTTTAAGGGAAGGCGCAGGGCATAACGAGAGTCCCGCCAGGTTTTTCGCAGGGAGAGGTTTAAAAAATTTATTCTTGGGAGGAAATACTGAAACTTGAACACAAACACCGAAAAACATATCTCTCAGTTTCAACTAACAAGAAAAGGATTCACACAATGTTCATTTTGTTTAAATATTTTCATATATTCCTTCATATGTCTGGTTTGAAAGTCACATTCTCGATATCTCAGCTCAAAACTATATATATAACGAATGTGTCAGATCACCTAACACATTATTAACAGGAGCACCCAACGTCAATTTTCGGAAAATATCTGACCGGAAAACGATTTGAGATCTAGAATTTTCGGAAAATTTACTGTAAAATTTATTACTTACCTGCTCCTCTAACATTTTTGAACATCTAAAAAATGGTATAATTGCCCATTTTTAAAGAATTTTTACCCTAAAAAGGTCACCTAAGCATGTAGATACATGTATGGAATTTTATTGAGGACAATGGTTTTTCGTTTCTCTTACGCTCCGTAGAATACGTTCTTGATAAGGAAATACCTTAGAAAAACATTGCATTATTCAACAGACGAAAAGACACATTTCATTCATATTGATATAGGCAGTGGTATAGCGAAAGGCATTAAAGTTAGCTCTTCAAAAGTCTGAATTTTTTCCGAGTATATAACTATGCGACATTTTTTACGATAAAAATCTGTCCCTTCCAAAACAAAGAGTAATGCTAGAAGAAATGTTTTTCCCAAGATAAATGCTTAATGTATTTGCAAGCACTTAGAGCATAAATTTCATAGTTTGAGTGATATTCAACGATAAACGTTTATCAGTCAACGCTTACTTCGGCCGCCATCTCTTTTAGTTTTTCAAACTTGTTTCCAATTCTCCTTGACCGTTTTGTTGTTTTTAACTCATGTAAGCTTCATTTAGAAGTGTCACGGATATAATCAGCAAAATACTAACCCTCACCCAGACGGGAAATTTTTTGTTCACCTCAATGGACCGACATCTAGACCGGGATACGCCACTTTTTTATTTCCGTTGATTTAAAACTTTACAAGTTGTTATATGACCATACCGCACTTATCATCGTCTAGCTTTCAACAGCAATAGAAAAGATGTCCAAAGACACAGGAAACAAAAGCCACATTCGACTGCAGCACTTTTCCCAAGATAAACCAGCTAACTATTCCTTGATAAATT